TCTTAGTGCTCAATAATGACCAAAGGAATGCCATACCTTCCAAATGCCATTGATTTAATCACAATGGCACAAACTGCAGTAAACAAGATTTCTGTTGTCGGCAAAGTTCAGTGATTTCTTTTGACAAACTGCTTTACGCTGGGTGGGTTTAACAGTCACGCTCCTCTGTCAGGCTGTAGTAGTTGACTGTCGCTTGTGCACGCTCTTCCAATTTGAAAAATGAGACCGCAGTGAAGGGAGGATAACATACAATACACATCTCACAGAGAGAAACCAACAACTGCTGTATTTTCTTGTGTGTGTGTGTGTGTGTGTGCGCGCGCGCATGTGTGTGAGAGTGCATGTGTGCGCATGTACATGGGCACCAGCAGGATGTGTTGGTGTTTAACCGCTAATGTCTCCTAGCATTAGCAGCTTTAGCATCATATCCTTGCCGGCTCTGTGTCTTTGTCCTCCAACAGGCTAATGAACTGACCGAAGCTCTCCTTCACCGCCTCCATGCTGTCAGTGGTGCTGCCCTCCAGGATCCAGCGCTTACCTCGGGCCAGCGGTTCCAGCTCAAAGTACTTCTTGATCTGCAGCCAAACACACGATGCAATCAGCTAAAATAATCATTTGAAAAAAGTAAAATCTTATATTTAGCATCTAACAACAGCTCCTGTTTTCAATATGAATAAAAAAATATGAATCAACATTTTAATTTCCCCCCAGAATATCTTTGATCAAATTCAAAGTATAAAAAGTTCAGATAAAGCAAAAACACAATCGTCAAACTACAGCTTGTAAAGGCATGTAAGCTGGCACATTTTCATCTCATATCCTCACCACACCAGGTCAGTTCACACATTACGTCACCCTCAAACATGTGGCAGAAAGTAACTGTATAACGTTGTGCTTTAGTAACACATAAGACTGAAGACATAGTACGTTTTTTAGACCGGTATCCAGTAATTCCAGTAATTGCTGCTGTTCGACCCCCCCCCCACACACACACACCTAAATGAAACACAACAGCCTCTTCATCTGAGGAATAAAAGGGTTGGCACTGCTCTTTGTAACAGTTATTATAAAGTTCATATGCTGGCTTTTGGCTGCTCTTGACAGTGGGGGTGCTGTGAGGTTCAGGGGAGAACCAGAACCAGCTGTTACGTAAAAACAAATCTCAGCAGAGAGAAACAATGTCTTAGACCTCCACTGAAGGTACTGCAGGTTGTTAGGGTTTCTGACATTTTCAAGCTGAGAGATATGGAAACAATTTTTTTGCCCGATGTGAACCCAGTTCAGCCATCTCCTCCTGTTTGCCTTATAGCCAGTGAAGAATGCACAAAACCAAATGTGTACTGTCAGCAGCTCTGGGAGAAAAATGCAAAGCTTCAAATGTAACAGATGCAATAAAAACACAATTTCCCACCTTATTAACTAATTTAGTCAGTTTCATGCTCAGTTTGACAATGGTGTATAGGCATGCAGAAATGTACACAATGTGTAACAGACGCTGGGTTGAAATATATGAATATAGGCATCTCTATTTCACACTCATCTTTATTAGAATATTAAGCTACAAGCTAAACTACTGCGTTTTTTCGAATGCAATATTCACATTGAGTATTGACTGGCTGGAAAGAGGACAGCACAAAGCTATGCTCTGAAGCTATTTAAAACATTACATTAGCTATTATCAATTTAATTGATTTCTTTAGTGCTCATTTCTACACATTTCTACAAATATCAAACCGAGATTAATGACTGCAGACAACCTCAGTGTTCTGAATTATACAAGAAAACATGTGCAGCAAATAAACACCACAAAGTCCACAAGGATCGTCACACAGTCAAATTACTTTTCAACTTCAAGTGAAATTGCTTTTGTCTAGACCGTGCTGGGCTGTCTAGCTGTGCCATGGTGTGTGGCATGAAGAGGACGGAGAGGAGGAGGAGGGGGTGCGCACTCTTTGTGTCTGCTCAAACCCAGCCAGCCATGCCAGCGAGTGGGAGAGTGAGTGCCGTCTCTGCCCCCCTGAGCCGAGTCTCTGTCCGGGTGTAATGTGAGTTTAATGACAGATTAAGTCACCTCAGCCGCGTTTGGCTCAGAGGCCTGGCTAGAAAGCCGAGTGGACCCAAACAGTGTTAACAAATCTGTCTGGGTAACTTGAGCTGCCCTAGCCCAGGCTCTAGCCCCAGACCTAGACTGTAGACGATGTGGCTGGCTGCCTGTCTGGCTGGCTGGCTTACTTGTCAGCCTGTAGCCAAGGCCCTCTTCTGGAAGACTTTGGCCCCTGCACTGGCAGACAGTCAAAAGTCCAGAAGTGACCTCTGTGCAAGTGCAGACAGGCTCAAGCTTCTCTCACTTCCCCTCACGGGCCAATAGAACACACCCAGGGGCATCTCATAGTGTGGCAAATACCTTCTTTAGCACTGTGCGACAGATGAGCGGCCTTACCAACGACGGCAGATGACTTCTAAAGTTTTCAGTGCAGCTTTACACTTATGTGCGCATGATAAAACCACTAATCTGTGATCTCAAACAATCCCCTTTTTACTTAATAGCCAACTGATATGAACACCTTCTTGCGAGCTACATTTCATCGACACTGCATATCAAATCCAGAGACTTTAATCACACAATTCAGCCATTATATGCTGCTAAAAACACTGCCTCAGTATTACATTACTGAAAGAATCAGCAATGTAATGCAATCAGCAGTGTGGCCCAAACCAGTTTCTCTGAGATTAAATCCTCCTAAGCACACTTATGCTTGCTTAAGGAATTGCGTGAGGCAGTGGTATGGGTAAGCCACACAAGACGTGGATTGCCAGATGGCTACAAGGATGACCACTGGGTCATCCAGTCTAGCTTCTTCTAGGTCATACAGACCGGAGCGTCTTGCCTTGTGCATGTTAGAAAGCAGCTTATACATGCATGAGGGTGTCAAAAATTCTTTAATCGCTTGTGTCTGTGCAGAGTTCCTGCTGCTCGAGCCTAGTCATGCTAGCCAACAGTCTGCGCTCTCAGGAGGACAGACATGAAACCCAGGAAAGGTGAACTCTTTGGTAACAGCCCTGAATAGTTAGTAACTTCTGAGACTATGAAAAGTCTAAAGAATGGGAATGTGTAAGGAATCTAACATACCCAAGGGGCAGAAGACAGACATATAAAATAATGTTAAAGCATGATTTCTTTTTGGAATATGAGCCTCGACTTAAGTAAATGAATTATAGATCTATTTTTTAGGTTGTATAATTTGTGACCCAGTGTCCGCAGGGAGTGGCTGTATAATAAAGTCAGCTAAGCTTAAGCTCCAAACCTGGCAAGCCTACTTTGGGCTATTTAAGATACCCAATGGGCATATATGGCACGTGCATCCAGCTGCTCCCTGACCTGTGCCAGATTACTGCATGTATGGTCACTCTTGGCATCATGCCATGGCAAGAGGATCTCCTGGCAGAATAAAAGAGCTTTAATGAGCTCTGCTCTGGCCTCTTGACCAACTAAACAAACCGTGGAGCCACCTAAAGGGGCAGGGCAGCTATGGAGATACCTGATATTGCTGTCTGATACTACATGTGAAGAAAAAAAACCCTAACAAATTTATATCCTCTCCTCTACAGTTGTCTTCACCTTCTAAAAAGGCATAAAGTAGAGCAGGTGGCAGTGGGCTCAGATGTCTATATTTTAAATTATAAAGCAGAGAAAAAACAAAAACAACAAAAACTGTCAGAAGTTTTTTCTCAGTATGCTTATTTAGCATATATTATTTAGGTACACCAGTACAGTTTCAGCTTCTCCCAGCACGCACACACACACACACACACACACACACACGGGACCAAAAAAGAAGAAGAGGAAGAAAGAAAGCAGCTTATATCTACATTGATGCACCCACTCAATCCAGACAGATACTAAGCTTCTCTGTCAGGCTGGCCAGACATTCAGGTACTGAAAGTAGACGATGCGGTTGTGATTTACTGATTATTACCTGTTCATTCTTGCACCACAATATCAAGAAACCCAAAAAACACAGCTCCTACCATAAAAAAAACCCTTCCGAAATGTATTAAACCATCACACTGTTGAGACAAAACCGACACAGCATCACAGACAGAGTACACAGAGAGCTGATACATAACTAAATGGTATGTAACCTAATGTGACTCACTTTTGTTGTAGTGTTTCCACAGCAGTAATTACCTCCAAAAAGTCAATTTCATGGATCATTTTCATTATTTTATTGGTACGCAGTGTTCCTTGTAGTTATTTCTGCTGTTGAATTTGTGCTGGGTAATTTGTGGTTAAGCACCTTTTCAACAGTGCGATGGCAGAAGTCCAAGTTAACACGGTGACATTAACATGTTCAGGATCTTTCTGATAAAGCTTACTACGGTTCAGTAGGTTGGTGCTATGTGGGCGTATTTAAGAAATCTCAAGTCGTTTTTAACATATTTGCAGAGGTTTACAACAAAGCCAGATGAAAGAGATTTAGATTTGTTGGATACACTCCTACAGCAGATTAGAACCGAAAGAAAGTTAAATGGTCTGTGCTGTAAGCTTTCCATTTCTCATGTATGGTTAACACTTTCCTCGGGTTATAAAAGCCTGAAAAAAAAAAACAATTAAATTAAATAGAGTATTATCAAATAAACAATAAGATGTTATTAGTATTAAGTAATAAGACCATAAACAGAAGAACACAGAATGTTAATCTGAGAAGACGTCAAAACCTAAAGAGAAGCCGTTAAAAATACTCAGACAAGTTACGATTTCCTCCACACAACATCAAAACTGTTTTTTGAAACAAGGAGCGCTCATTGGTCAACCAACAGTTTCGGCCTAGAGCTTTTAATTCGGCTAAACTTCAGCAGAACCCTTTTTAAACAAAAAGAGCATCACTTCTGCTCACAGGATGTGAGCAAAACACATCTTTTTATTATGTGTATGCAAATAAATGAATAACATGGCCTTCGATGCCCTTCTCCTAATATTTACCATGACAACATATCTATGAAGCGTCACTGTCACATGTCAAAACCTCACCACACGAGCAGGCACAAAACTGGAGAGGGAAGCAATAGGGGGTCTCTTAACCAGGGAAAGTGGCAGACTCAAATATCCAAGACAATCAATTACACCATCCCTTGACATGTTGGCCCCTGTGAAGATATCAGTCACTTGGAAAATGGCCCACACTGGCGACTGCATTGAAACGGGAGGGTAATGTGAGATCCACTCACCATATAATAGATATGCCTTTGTTTGCTTTTCCGCCTTACCTAAAGAGCCTTAAAGACATGAGAAAGCCTGGAGGTCCCCAAGACAGGAACACCTGGGAAGCCTGTGAATAAACAAACACTGTGCCTCAAATTGAGGGAGGTGTGAAACTAAACAGCCCACTGGCCAGTAAATAAACCCCAAAGCCTATGTAAGCACCTATTTAAAGCTATAACACTTTCAGTAATGGACTGAAGATTTTGCATCTAAGGTGGGCAAGTCAAGGTGGATCATGACCTGATCACTTGTTTGGTTAATGTATTAGCAGTAAGTAGGGCATGAAGTGAGCACTGCAGAATCCCTCTTTGA